GGGTTTGGAGAAATGGCGCCAAATGGGTGTGTGGGGGTGGGGGGGGGGGGTTGCTTTCTCCCACCGACATGCGGGCCAGGGGAGGACAAGCGCGCGCGTCCCGCCCGTCCGCGCGCTGTCTGTTTCACTCCAAAACCGGCGCAAACTTGGGCCGGCGATGGGTCGAAAACGGACACAAAGCGGACAAAAGTCCGTTTGCGCCCGTGCGCTGGGCCGTCTCGTTTGTCCTTTTTACCCCAAACGGACGGAGGCGGACAGGATAGGGTCGCGCGGTGGAGTTGGCCTAACCAACTCTATGTGAACCCTAGATCCCCTCGGTGCCTATATAAACCGGAGGGGTTAGTTTGAAAAAAATATTCATGACCATAGTCATACAGTCTAGACTTCTAGATTTTAGCCATTACGATCTCGTGGTAGATGAACTCTTATAACACTCATATTCATCAACTCTGCCACATGGAGAGCATCCTCAGCTGACAAACCCCACGGGCGCGGTGGTGTATTTATGCCAACGAAGCAGTCCAACGCAAGCAGAAAAGTAACATGTTGAAGTGGGTGTTAACTGAGCTAATACAGCCAGATCTGGGGGGCTGAAGTTGTGGCTTTGTGATAAAATAACTTAGTCTTAAATTCGTGCGGTAAGTTCCGATGATCGACAAACCACGCAAGAGGCAGAGACGAGCTATACCCGAAATCCAAATAAGCATGTCGCAATCACTTGCAGGAAAATCACTTTTAACCACTACAATTAAACCCGCTCAACTTGCAAGTGTCGGCTTTAGTCAGCATCGTACAGTGGTACAGGTCATGGTACAACAGACGGCAATAACAGAGGGCTGTATCACAGCTCGCCAAATCTGTAAAACTAGGAGTAATCGTACAGGGAGATGCTCTTGTCATCCGAAGCGCTGGCGAGCCGGCCAGCACGGACTCCTTCCCCTCCCGGCGGCCGGAATGCAACGGCCCAGACCTGGTCTGAGTGGTTGCTCATGGTCTGAACTGACGCCCTCGCATTGATGTCCCAGAGCCGGACGGTGCGGTCGCTGGAGCCTGTCGCCACCGCCATGCCATCCGGGCTCACGTCGATGCTCAGCACCCAGCTCGCATGACCCGACATGGCCCCGATCAGGCCCTTCTCCTTGGCATCGTAGATGTGGATGTGGGAGTCGTCACATCCGGTCAAGAGCACGTGGGGGTCCACCGGCGAGAACACCATGGACCTCACTGGCATGTGGTGCCCCTCCAGGTGGTGGAGGAACTTCATGCGGACCGCATCATACACCGCAATCGTGCCATCCATGGATCCACATGCTAAGAGCTTGCCATCTGGACTCCAGGCCACTGAAAGAACAAACTTGCCGCTGCCTGTTTTATCAGCGCGGGCTCCCTCTGGACGCGGAACAGGAAGGCTGGCAATAGGTTGCCACTTCTCCGTGTCCCAGAGTTTTACTGATCCACTGCCACCACCAGCTGCAGCCAGAGCAACACCCTGACAAGGAAATCATTTAATTCATCTGTTATTTGACAAGTGCATACAAATTGATTCCACCGTAATCAGAAAAACCAGGGTAATTAATTCACAGGTTTCCTTCGTAGTATGTGCTAGCTAATTGGTTACAGTGCCATACTATATATATACATAGTCAAGGTTTCAGACAAAGTGGCATATGTTGATTACGCTGTCAGATCACAAAAGACTCAAGCAAGAACCACTAGCCCACAAAAATATACCGACTGTATATGGAATAAAATCATGTCAAACTAGATATAGATCATGCATGTTCGGAACATATTAAATTTAATATGTCAAAGTAAAGTACACATTCGTAAAGTATGGAACAGAAATCACTTTAGAGTTAACACTATACGCCATTGTTGCAAGTTCCAGCAAGAAGCAGTGAATAGCACTAGAAAATAAAATCATCTCACAAAATTCAGTACGATTGTGAAGTAACAATGTGATTCATAAACAAGAGATGTAACAGAACAGACAGCAGCTTACTTCGGCACATTATTTCTTCTAGCAATACTTGCTTTCAAATGTGGACTATGTAAGTATTTGTTAACCAGCTTAGTGAGGCCCCAAAACAATACTGCAGAAAGATGAACTCCAATCATAAATAATTTAACCCCACAATTATCTGCTTTGTTCCTTAATCACCTTAACTTACCGAATATAGTCGTCTAGAAAGCATAGTATAGTACAACATAAACTTCATAGCGTAGAAAACAGAAGCTAATAGGTTGAATCACAAAACGTACACTCTTGCAGCCTCTAACCAAGTTATCTCACTAAATCAATGCAACAATGGAAGTAAATATTCAGTACATACCTAAAATAGAAGACAAGGCTGGCATGTCGTAAAATGCAGGCCAGTGCACCACACTGCTTTCCTAAATTGACAACTGCAAACCTCTCCCACTACATGATCTTCGGATACACACAAATCATCAATGGCTTATTCTAGCAAATTGGACCCGTGGCATAGTTTTCATGTAACTTTGCAAAAGCAGTCTTGTTTCCTTCTCATTTTTTTAAACCTACTAAAACAACAACGAGATGTCCAGCCAGGCCACTATTTTCCCAGGGCATTCTATACTGGAACGTTGTTAAACTACAGCACTATTTGAAAGAAGCCCACAAATTTCTTCGGTTTCACCCCTCAAGTAGACTTGGTAAGAAGCAAAGCATAATGTAAACCTACAAACTCGTCAACAATCCAAACCAGGCGGTTCTATCATGGCATTCCGTCCCCAAATCAACCAAAGCTACGATAGCATTTCACTGAAGGCGCACACCTTACAAGCATCTCTCAGTCACTCAACCTCTTGGCAGTAACAACTTGTGAGCAAGATCACGGAGGAAAAGGAAGACACAAAGCCAGCGCCATACCTTGGGGTGGAACTGGACGCCCCAGACCTCGGAGGGCGCGGCATCGAGCGTGGCGACGGATGCGCCGGAGTCGACGTCGAAGACGCGGACGTGGCTGTCGATGGAGACCGCGGCGGCTATGACCCCGGCAGGATGCGCCGCGAGGGATATCACTCCGAGCGCGTGCCCTCCCGCCGGGGGGGACGCGGCGGCGAGGTCGTCGGGTTGCCAGGCGCGGACGGTCTCGTCGATGGAGCCGGTGAGGAGCAGCGCCGTGGGGCGGTGGTCAGCAGCGGGCACCCACGCGGCCGCCCAGATCGAGTCCTCGTGAGCTCCGTCCACCGACTTGAGCCCCGCAAGCTTCATCGCACCCTCTCTTCTCTCTCACGAACCAAACCCTAGGTGTTTGATCTGGCTGCTGAGGAGAGGGGTTCCTGGGTTTTGGAAGAGGTTTATTAGAAAAACGAAGGAAAAAAAGGGCAAATCTGGCTTTTTCGAGAAAAACAAATGTGGCTGAGTAGCTGGACCTCTCGTGCATGGGCGCTGCTACAAATCATCCGACTGATACCTTCTCACGCCGTTGGACCAACGACACTGCATTCGTTGATCTATCACAGCAGAATAGTCGCCATCCGGCAGTGCAGCGCTGCTCATGTTGTCGGACTGGTGTTCCTATCCAGAGATGCTCCAACGCAACGTGCAGCCTCGGCGATGTTCCGTCGCTGTGCCGACACCCCGGGTGATGCTCCATCACAGCAATCGAGGCCCGACGATGTTTCATCGCAACACCGACGCCGGTGAGGCCACCACAACAATGATGATGATGCAAGAAAAACTGGCGAGCCCCTAATTGGAACATCCACTCCAGCTTTCTCGTCGTCCTAAAAATAACAGTTGTCACAACGCAACAACCCCCTCCCCGCAGCAATGCATGGCTCTGCCCCTGTCGCAGCAACAACAACTTCGCCGCTGGGAGTGCGAGAGGGCGGGGTGTAGGGGAAAGGGAAGAGATGGGTTGCTGATTGGATTTTGGTGGGAAGAGGAGAAGGGTGTCAGGGGACTCTGCAGATTGGAAGGAAGAAGACGACTCACTCGGCCGAGAGAGAAAAGGGATAAGGTGAATGGACGGTGGGGTGGGTCCCATGGAGGATGCATGGTGCGTGAGGGACGGGGCTTATTTGAAAAAATTGCACAAACCACCTATTTTTGATACTAGTGTTGCATAAAATGCACACTTTACAGGTTTGTTGCACAAAACACCGCATATCGCGATAATTCGTTATAGGTAGGTCTAATCTATCATTTATGTGTGTTGACACGATTCCTAACAACTTGATCCAGTTTTTAAGTACACCGATGGCAAAAAAACGGCCACATCAACAGTCAATTAGAACTATCAATATCTCACAATTCTTTTGCTGGAATTGAGCTAAATTTTCCTGAGAATATTAATGAGTGAGTGCATCTATGATTTTCTTTTTCATCTTTTAAAAATGTTAAATTTTGAACAAAAAATCGAAGTAGCCAACTAACATTACAAATATCTCACAAACTGTTGGTCCAAATGAGCTGCGTTTTTTTAGAATAGTATTGGATACATGTGTGCTTTACTTAAATTGTTTTCCGCAACACCATGAAATCTCATGTGAAATAACATAAGATTGCTACACAAATCTAAAAAGATTCAAAAATAGCCAAAATTTCATGTGAAATAACATAAGATTGCTACAAAAAATTGTGCATCTCCAATGCTGCCTTTTTTTTACCACCGATGCACTTACAAACTGGACTCACTTGTCAGGAATCATGTCAACCCATCTAAATGATGGATTAGACCTAACTGCAATGAATTACCCCAATATGTGGTGTTTTATGCAACAAACTTGTAAAGTAGGTATTTTGTGCAACACTAGCACCAAAAGTAGGTGGTTTGTGCAATTTCCTCGGCTTATTTCTCAAGAGATCGGATGGTTGAAATAGAACAATTTTTTAGATAGAACGTTTTCCCTCGTGCATTGTGCACAACTGGCCCATATGCCGATTTGATTTAGCTCACCCAGCCCGACATGGGCCTTGCCCGGCCGCGCGCCCCAACTGGGCCCTTAGTACCGCACGCGGCAGACGCCGGCCTTTTAGTACTAGTCGTAATTCTCTCCTCTAAAAAAAACTAGTCGTAATTCTCATATTTTGTTTTTGATTTGACTAGTCGTACCTTTGATCTAGCAACTAGATAGATTCTTGGCCGCGATTCTTTATTCTCTTGTGATCTTCTCCCGCTTCGGCAGGTAGTTGACAGTTGAGTAGTTGCAACAGGTAGTTAAAACTAGATAGATCCCTGATTCTCTCGCAGGTTGGTTGCAGGAGGAGCCACTATAAATAGAGCCTACTCCTACCACATCTCCTGAGAAACCCAACCCAACCCAACCCAACGAGAGCTAATATCCATCCTTGGAGCTAACCGATCAGATCATGGCCATGGGGACTAGGCGCGCCGCTCTCTGCTTTCTTCTGCTAGTCGCCGTCTTCTTACAAGGCAATCCTACATTGGTTTCAGCGGATGGTTCGTAATCTCCCTCTCTCTCTCTGCGCCATTCTTGCGCTGGTTTTAAATTGGAATTTAATGTGATGAGAAAGATTATACTACTACAAGTTACTTACTGATCTACTAGTACGTATCGTCTGTGAACTTCAGAGGAGTACAAGTATAGGATTCCGTATGTACCCTTCTGCAAGGGGTGGAGCTGCAAGGTGGAGTGCTGGCTGGAGGCCAAGCTCTTCCGCACCCGTCTGCAGGAGCGCAAGTGCATCAGGGGCGGCATCAAGGGCGCCTGCTACTGCCTCTTCTGCGGGAAGCACCTCCAATGAAACACATACATCATCCATCCATTATTTGCTCGCTCGCTCGTCTAGTAGGCATTACCACTACTCCCTCCGTTCCATAATATAAGAGCGTTTTTGGCACTACACTACTGTAAAAAACGTTCTTATATTATGGGACAGAGCGAGTAGTTATTTATCTCGAAGTTCCTCATCCACGTTCGCTTATCCAGCTGAAGCCAATAATTCCTTTTCTCATAAACGAATTGCGACTAGTTTATATTAAGGTAGCAGCAGCAGCTCTAGTACGTAGGAGCTTCAGATGTAGTTAGTCTCAGTTTGGAGATTGAATTCTTTCTCCCTTTTTTTTGGCTTCCTAGATAGCTTCTACGACCGTGTAATGTCTTGCTTCAATTAACGTTATTATGGATTAATAAAACTGTATGATGATCTTCGCGTAACTGAAATGCTCAGAAATGTTTCAGAGATGTCAGTATGTCACGTCATAAAAAAAGGTTAATGTCAATTCTTGTATACGTAACTCAATTAACCATCCTACGTGTCACTTCATCATAAAAATCTAAGATATTTCTGGAACTCAAAAAATATCTGGGTCCTAAGGTAACTCATGCCCTTGGAATCCAACAAAAGAAACGTTTCAAAATATCTTCAGCCATAGATTCCTCCCTTCATACTTCAGAGCTTATTTTTAGCTAATCATGTCTTCGGAGATCGACCATGCTACTTACTCCCTCCGTTTCTAAATATTTGTTTTTTTAGAGATTTCAAATGACTGCCACATACGGATGTATATAGACATATTTTAGAGTGTAGATTCACTCATTTTGCTTCGGATGTGTCACTTGTTGAAATTTCTAAAAAGACAAATATTTAAGAACGGAGGAAGTACTGGTTACTGCTTACCACCACATACAACAGATGGTAACATAACTTAAGGAAATTTTGCACACACATTACCAAGAAATAAGGGGTCTATGGTCAGTTGTACACCTCTGCCATCACAACCTTAATACCGTAGTCCGGGAGGTACAAGAGATATCTGTAGCGACGGAGATCATGCTGCGAGGTCACTCTCGGATTTCATCTCCTGAGTTGTTTGCCTATTCAGTGACAAGTGAGCACAACACTTGTTCGAATGTGGTGTAATCAAATTCAGAGTATGTAGTTGCTAGTTTACTCAATCTACACATTTACAATGCCGCGCTAGTTTAGTTTTATCTATGCCCAGATCATTAACGTTAGCTACATGTACAAAATAAGCTCAAAACTTTCATTGATCTAACTATGTGGATGAATGGAACCTGAGATGCCACAACCACACGAGGCAGGTTGCCTCTGTTTAAAGGAGCTTTTCCTTTATATCAGCTTGTGTGTCACTAATTAATGAAAGCATGTGCACGGTTTTTTGTTGTTTAGATTACTATAATAACCATAATAAACAAAGGAAGATACACCTTTTCACAAAATATCAACTGTGCGTCCATTGACTAGGGTAAGTCACAATTCTTCTTCTTTTTGCTAACTACAGTTCTCTACATCTATTAAACAAAAGGACTAATACACAATAAACCCGCCATAATAAATTTGCTTACTTAGTAAATTCATATTTATGTAGTACTCCCTCCGTCCCACAATGTAAGACGTTGTTGCAAGCTAGTTTAGCTTGCAAAAATATCTTATATTATGGGACAAAGGGAGTATACTAGTAAAAGTGATTGTCGTTTCAGACATGGCCTATGCAATCCAGAGAACGGCGAGCGAAAAAAACTTAGAAACAAGCTAAAAGTTCATTACTCACTGTCGCTTCAGCGTATTATTCTGACAAATCAAAACTCTGCCCTTTTCCTCTACCATCTGGAAATGTGCAAACAATACTTAAGATTCTTATGAGTAAAAATGAAAATTGATTACCGCAAAAGTACTTAATTAACATATTGCAAACCTTAACATCACTCACGCTTCTAATGTTGTTAACATATTCATCGGTGTTCTGCCTATTTTGAGCCCTTTCCCCTCTAGTCACTGAGTGTGAGTTTCTTCTTTTGGATGGTTCTGCCTCCTTGGCCCGACGTTCAGGCGCTGGTGCTGGCAGCATTTCATGGGCAGAATTATAGCCACTCAGCAAACTTGTTCTATGCATAGAGCATAAATCAGTCCCATATGCTGCACTCATGTTACATCCTAGAACCATGCAGCGTCGGCCGCCACCATGTTTGATACAACTATCAGTTCGCCCTTGTGCACTTTTCTCGCATCCTTGAAACTCGCATCGCCTTCCCCCACCATGCGCAATGCAAAAATCTGTGTTCCCTTGAGCACCCTTCCCACAACCATCATATTTACATCTCTTGCCGCCACCGTGCTTCACACAACGGTCTGTGCGGCCTTGACTGCTACTACACGCTCCCTTGGTGCATCCACTGACAGCACAGCCCCTCCTTTTGTGCATCCTTGAACTATGGAAAATGCATAGAGGTGTGCCTCCATGTGCAACATTTGTACAACCTTTAACCATGCAGCCCTTTGAAGGACTGTCGTGGTTCTTGCAATACCTTGTACTTCCCTTGGATGTATTGCTGCATTCTTGGTAGGTGCACATCACAACTTCACAGTTAAGACTGCAGATTGATGTGCTGCCCGTACTATTCCCAACACTTCCTACAACACTAACTCCATTATTTCCATGCGTTGGCTGCACTCCTGTACTATAGACGGTGTTGAACTGTGTGTTGCATTCTGTAGAAGAGGTGTTGACTCGTTTCTTTCCTTTAATCTTGTTGTAGAATTTCCCAAACCGACTGTTCTCCTTATCTTCGCCCCCAGGATACACGGACACAGCAACAACATCCTGGGTCACTTCCGGGTAGAGTACTGCCACTTCTGCTTCCAAATCACGGTTCTCATCCTTCTCAGTGTCTCCCTCTGGTTCTTCATGAAGATCGTAGATTCCTGTGCTGACCATAGCATTTCCAGCGTTAATCTTCACTCTGGTTCCACTATGTCCTTCATGCTTGATCGATCCTTCTGATTTGGTGCATGGTACTGTGCTGGAACCAGTTTCACCATGTGAATGGCCTCCACCATGGGAAATACGTAAATCAACGCCATCTTGCACGATATGAGGGCAGCATAATTGTCCCACATTGTGGCATTTGCAGGTAGCACCCCCTTCTGTCATTGATGGAGACACAACAACTTTCTCTGTACTTTCAGATCTTGTGGCCTCTTTTGCGCAATCAACTGCTGCAACAAACACCTGATCTTTGGACTGCACGGCCTTGTTTTCACTTAATGAGGATGTGATAGTACCTTGATTTTTTAATAACAAAGATGTGGCAGCACCTTGCTCTGTCACTGACAAGAATAGGACAACTTCGGCCTCATGTTCTGACTGCATAGATTTGCCCACACAATCACTTGCTACAATAAGCTCATGACTCCTAGACTGCATAGCCTCTTTTGCAACATCACTTGTTGCAAGAAACACCTGATTTTTAGGCTGCATAGCTTCTTCTGCCTTTAATAGGAATGTGGCGGCACCATATTCTACCATCGACAAAGATGTTGTACCACATAGTTCTTGTTCTAACTTTGACAAGCATGTTGTACCAGTAGCATCTTGTTCTGAAATTGGCGGGGATGCTGCAGCTTCAGCTACATTTTCAGATTGAGCAACGTTAGCATCATCTTCTTCTTCAACATTGCCATCTTTTTCGACGCTATCTTCATAAGTGGTCAAAACAATAACATCTAATTTGACATAATACTCATCATAGTCCAAGTCAATATAATCCAGTAATGTCATTACTGAACCTGAAACAACAAAAGGGTGTATGTGATAGCCTGATAGGCATGAAAAAATGCAGAGAAAATAGATGTGTACCATTACCAATTTATGAAACTGTCAAAGATAAAAGGTGCTGAGAAAACAAAGGCATGGCTGCATTTCTAACCATATCTTTGTTATTATTAACTTTAATATAGAATGATTGAGCTGGTGGTGACGGTGGCTCCACCTTGGAGGATCCTGTCCAATGTGGATGGATCTGTGCACATGTACGATGTTTATATAATTCTACGTGCCTTACCGGTCAGATGCAAACTTTCAACAAGATATAATTACCTATGTGTTCTAAATAGACTGGCCAGTAATATATTTGCTAAGTGATATTATATTTGCATGACTGAATATGGTTTTCTCAAGGAATATGTCTTAACCAAGTAGACACAAGTAATGACGAAACTAGTTTTCTTCAAAAGCTTTATATCCCCCTTTCACGTTTGTGGATTGGATAATTCTGAAAGCGGCACTATTTGGGGGAGCATTCCATAGTGAATGTGTAAGAAATTTTCATGGATGATATGCTAACATAGCTGAAGGTCACGATATTGCTTGATAAAGCAAGTACTATCACTGATGTGTGCAGCACACTCATGAAACGGTTTGCCACCTTATCCTACATTCCCATGTTGTCTGATAGGTTTTGAATCATCAAGATTTGCCGATACCTGCACGACATCTTTTTCCCCAGACAACAATGTGTAGGCGTCATCCTTCAGAAAGGTTTGGGGAGTAACAGTTATTGATACTCTCAGGGATATGCGCTTGACAAGAAAATGATGTTAAGACACTAATTCATTCGGTTGGATATAAAATTGAAGCCTTCTAATACACTTCCTAATCTCCTTTTCCCAGCCTACGACGCACCTGTTTCTGGTCTCAGCTGTCGTATGTTTTCTCCCGTCCCAATCTATGTAAATACCCTAGCTTCCTCAGGTCCTAATTTACAAAAATTCGAAGGCAGATCCCATTTCCCTCAATTTTTTCTATGAGTGGGTTGATAGAGTTGATTCGCACTCAGCGCAGTGGCGAAGCAAATAAACAACGCAAAAGGTTCAATTGATCAATTCCATGGAAATTCTCCAAGTTTGAAACCGGCTAGCAAGACCTCCGGGTTCGGCTATTATTTATCCTACTTTATCAGCATTATAGCCTCTTTGATTCGTAGGATTTTGAAAACATAGGA